AAAAAGCCCCGTAGCAGTTTGACCTTTTCTTCAGTCGGTGCCCACACAAGAGAAGCTTTAGAGCAGTTTTGAAAGCAACACGGTCAAGACAGGAGTCAGCGGTTGAATGCAGAATCATGCGGGACAATACGCTACACGCACAGCTTTGACTCCCATAACAGGAAGTCAAGTATGAATTTTGGCTAAGTTGAACTTATAAAAGTAAAAACAAGCATTGATTCATACAAAACACATATAAAGTACACTTGTGGGTGTGTGGCAGCAGTACAATTGAACACACACACACACACACAAAGAGGCTGCACTCACATATCCAGATGTCACTGATGGCACCATTAGGCCAAACACCACCTGTCAGCTTTAAGGCTTCCGTCTGTCTAACACACCTGGCTGCCATCTAACACACAGCTCCCTTTGGTGCCATCACTCTCTGTATGTCCTCCCTGACCTTTTCCCTCTCACTTCCTTACGTAACCCCATCTCTCTCTTTCTCTGTTTACCTCTTTCACTTTCTTTTCTGGCTACCACCCTCCCGCACCCTCGTCCTTGCTCTGTCTTTGTGTCCCTGTTTTTCTACCCTTCCATCTGTTTCCTCCCTCTCGTCCTCTCTTTCACCCAATTCCTCTGTTTAATTTCTTTCCTCTGCATTACGTGTTGCGTATTTGTTTAACGTAATCGATTGTTTAGCTTCCACCTCTTACGCATCATAACTGGCGGCGGAATACCTCGCCAACCGCACACACACATGCGGCACACAAATCCGTTTCAGTCACTCACTTAGTGACACACGCCAAATTACAAACTTACAAACTCACGCGCGCATAAACACACACTTGCATGCTCACATATATATATACAGTGTACAAACTCTCGGCCCGGGAGCCAGCTGCATGTGAGCACGCAAGTCCTCTAATCTGTGGCTTGGTTGGTGCTTCTTCCAAAGTCCCTGGACCTTAAAAAGGCCGAGCCTGACTGGGCTGGAACAGTAACACCCTACACTTAGCCACATGGCGCTAGCTCGCCCACACCCTGTTAAACACAGCCAGATGTGCAGCGACTGGAAGCATGGTACAATGTCACTTCACTGTTCCGTGGCCATGCGAACCCAAAAGCTATTCTCCAGTCTTGGCACGGAAACAGCAAATCCTCACCTGTTCTTAACCCTCCATTTATGTATACCTGCCTTAACCTTGCAGAGTATTTCATGAACCTTGATCCACTTTCAAAACACTTAAAGAATGACGGCTCAGTCAACAGCAGTGGTTTAACCATACCCTTAAACAGAAGTAGCTTGTCTTATTTTCCACTTTTCAACAGCTAAGGCTAATAACAGGATGTCTTTAGCGACAAGAAAAAAAAAAAAAAAAAAAAAGGCTGGATCCTGCCAAATTGCTGGTCATGTGGCAGCAAATGTAACATATTATGGTCCAATTAACCCCAGTCTATCACTCAGCTCCCTTTGAGGACGCAACCTACAGCAGATGGTTTTTAGACCTCGAGGTCCCAACACACACACATACTTCTCCCTCTGTCGGCTCTACGGTCCCCATCTGATGCTCAGTTGGGGTAAGATAAGGGAACGTGGAAAAACAGGGATAAAAATCAAAGCTGAAGCAGAGTTGGAGAGGAGGGAAGAGGAGAGGATGTACAAATGTGGCTTGATTTGCCATCAACAACAACAACAAAAAAAGAGAACAATCTAATTAATTTTCAGTTTCAAAGCAACAGCAGCTATCAGGAAATTTGTGACAACATGTCTGGCAAGCGAAGGCAAACAAAAACAAGCTCCAAATCACTTCATTGTGAGGCAACATAACTTAGCACGTTCGCGATGCGTGCCTCTGTGTGTATTTATCTACCAGTTTCTGGATGCAAATCATTAGAATGTTTAGAAGCTGCAGCTGAGTGCTGCTTGAATGTACGTGTCTGCAGACTGTGTTGTTTACCAGCTCTGCTGTGCTAAATGAGGTGTAGCCCTGAAGAATGGGAAAGTTCAAGAACTGTAGGATGACATAAACTAACTTGGGGAAAATTTGTATGTCTTGGACTGGTTGTTATGTGTCTGTGTACTTTAGCTTTGGTGGGGTGACTGTATCCCTTTGGCAGCAGCACCCTGAGTGAAAAAAGAGGGCCATGAGAAAGAAGGACACAAAGCGATTGAAGAAGAGTAAACAAATGTCTCTCAGCCACTAATCACTGTGATCTGAAAAGGTCAAGCTAACTAGCCAAGCTCAGAGCTCCAGCTGACAGATCCATTGTCACAGACTGGCCAAGGGGAACAAGTGGAGTACAGAGACACCCTTCTATTAACTGGAGCAAGTCATTAGACACAAATAATTGCCTTGGTGCGCCAATGTTCTAACACTAAAAATCCCTCTCAATTTCTCTCTCCCGCTCTCGCTTTCTCTCTCTTTCCATCTCTCACACTTAAAGCATTGCAATTAAGAGCTGGTATTATTTCGCAATATTAAGAACTTATTCTAGATTTTCTAATGGTGTCGAGCAGATTGAGTAATTCAGGCTGTTGCTCTAATGCATGTTTTTTTTTTATAATGGTCGAGTCAGTCTCCGGTCATTTAACCCCTAAATACCCATCAGTGTGTATCAAAAAAAAAACATATTTAGAGCAATGAAAATAATGCATTTCCTGTCTCTCTCTCTCCACTCACTCGTCCTCACTTATGGCAGCTCAAGCACACCAGCTCATCTCCAACTCTGCAAACGCGATATGTTTTCGAACATTCAATGCTCATAAATACATTATCTCCTAAATGTCTGGAGGGAATTTCAGAACAAACGCTAACTTGGACTGATGGATGAATTGATTAGACTTTGATGGTCAAAGGTCGACAGTCATTTGATCTTATGTCTGTTCTAAACTTTTGAAGACTAAAGAGCAGAAACGGCTAAAGAGAATTTCATTGCGTCTTAAATAAAAGTGCACACGGAGGAACAAAGGCAGGACTGTGATGTTTGTAGCTAATTTGATAAAAGTGGCGTTTTTCTTTATGGCAAACTGATTTCTTCTTAATTTTCTTATATAATTTAAAGATCTTTGAACCAATAAGCGATCAAAGGTCTATATTATATGTATAATAAAGCCGTATTTGCCTTTTTCAGTTGTGTTGTGTGACATATAGTAAGCATTGATGAGTTTTTTTCCAATGATGTGCAGCAGTGTCCCACAAGCAACATTGGATTTGACCTTTGACTTGATTACTTTTACTTGAATAAGCTACAACTTGAAAGCATGACAGCAGGTTAATCTGCTGTGAATCAGTCTGCAGGTTGTCTGATAAAATAACTTTTACTCAGTCCATCCGTATTGTGCGTGTGTGTGTGTGTGTGTGTGTACATCTGCGTTTTCGTGCAAGTTGAGAACGTCCAGAGCGAAAACGTAAAATGAGTAACACCACACAGATGTGCAGTCCACATTCCCATCCTCTCACTCACCTCACACACTTCCAACGAGAATACAAACACTCACCGTCAAAGGCTTTGTACTGTCCCACAAATGAGGTCTGTAAGGATCGTCCAGCGTCTTTGAGCAGCCCCTCCATCTCCCGGCGACACAGCATGGCCAGGTTGTCCTCCATGTCGCTGGTACAGCAGGTGTAACCCTGAGGACAGATGCGCAGGTGCTCCCCTACCGGAGGGACGGGTCGAGACAGAGCAGAAGAAAGTGTGGGGAGCAGGAGGTGGTGGTGGTGGGGGAAAGAGCAAAAAAGGAGAGAAGGGGGGTGTAAAGAAGAAAAAGGACAAGAAACGTGGCATTAGCAATGACAGGTTCCATCAATCCAGCCAGCGCTCAGCAACAAAACTGAGATTAATAGTCCCTGTGTTGCTGCTGTATAAAATACTCAACAGTGAGTATGAACATGACAGGACTGAATTAGCTGCAGTAGCTGTTTTTATGGCCTAAACCCAGACTGTTGGCAGCCGAGGAGGCAGTGCTGCATGTGTTCGCCTGCCTGATTACCTGGCAAGATGTGGTGAACTCTGTGGCAATGGGAGCAGTGGTGCAGGAGTACAGCATCAACTCCCATACAGTTTTAATGAGCACTCCTGACACGCATGCCTGTGCATAAATTTGCACACATGTGCGCACACACACACACACACAGATAGACCAAACCCAGAATAACAGGGTGGTAGAAAGGATCTATAAGCTCACACTGGGTGTGTGTGCATATGAACAGACACACACAACCAAATGCCATATGAGAGAATTTAAACAAGGGCTGTCAGTGCTGATTAAAGCTGCAGTCAGGCTGCGGCGGAAATCAGAACAAATTACGTAAGATGGAAATTCCATCATTCCCATCAATGCAACCAGACGTACAGGGAACAAAATTCATGTGAGTGACATTCATTAGTAGGTCAGGAGTAGAAATAATCTATGGCGTTTGAACTGATATTACTTTTGAAGATTCCTCCCCACTATTACCGCTTTCAGACACACACAGCACAAATTCCCACAGACACACAACGATCAAAAGGCAAGGATGCATTGTACTACATAGAGCTACGTACAACAAATGACTTTAAGGTAGTGCTGAGAAGAAAAGGAAATATTATTCTAACGCAAAGACAATAAAGACAACACGAAGCTGCTTTCTTGCAAATCATGAAAAATATTTATCACAGCTTCTGATGCACCCACACAGACAAAAGCACACAGAGAAAAATTAAAAAGGGCAGCAACGAGTATGCAGACGGGATTGCAACGAGTTCAGAGCTCCCCAAGGAGCGTAGAGGTCACATCTTTTTGCTCAGTGTGCTGCTGGTTATGTAGGCATAGTGGAAGTTGGAATTGATTTTTTTTCCCCCTCTATTTTTGCAATCAGAGAGATTTTTCTGGAAACCTCCTTTCCAACTGTATTTGTATGGACTTCTAAAAAACTGAAACACTCGTTTTTTCTGTGGATTGCTGTATTTTTATTTCGTTTCTCTGACTAACCGCCCTGCCGCTGCTCATTTCAACCAATGCTTTATATTAGTAGATTTAAGAATTTCTTTGTAATAGGACAATGGTATGAAGTTGGTAGCTGTACCTTGACATGTTTCGGCGTTCCATCTGTCGCCTTCTTCAGAAGTGTCATCTGACCTGTGTGTCTTTATCAGCTGTTTTTCATAGGTGTGGCCAAACGGACACTACCAGTGGGTGTGTCAGTTTGGCCACACCTACCGCCGCCTCTGGAGCAGAGCGTCCCAGGTGTGGGATAGAAGGAACGCTCCATCATCTCTATTGATTGTGTGTGAGCCTCGCTTCCTGATTTCAATGGATTCCCGGATCCAGCACGGCGGTAGGTGTGGCCAAGCTGACACACCCACTGGAAGTGTCAGCTGATAAAGACATGTCACACACGTCAGATGACACTTCTGAAGAAGGCGACAGATGGAACGCCGAAACATGTCAAGGTACAGCTAACAACTTCACACCATTGTCCTATTGCAAAGAAATTCTTAAATCTACTTGTATTTTGAGGACAAAATGAACGTCTTTGCTAGAATGCTTTATATTATTAAGAAACTGCAGCTGGGATAAGGTGTGATCTTTTGTCTTATAGATACGCTCTATTCATTCACTGTTCTTGAAAAATGTCAGCAAAAGGAAGCACTGTGCTGCTCCAATAATGCATTCGGTCAGGCTCCAGTGGGAGCGCTAAATATGCAGGTTAAAATAGCCACAGTTTATATCACAGAAGCCAACATCTCCATTGTGAGTTATTATTAGCGTGCCACTGGTTGCATTTTGCGTCATGCACTGTTTATACTGCAGGTAGTTTCCATTCTACTTTCTCCCCTCCATTGATGAGGAACTGAATCTCAGAGAGTCGCCTACCTTCCCACTCAGAGACCTAACACTGAAAAGTGTTCTAACTGCCGTGCTGAGTTTCCCACCTCATCAGTCACTCCTTTCTTCTCTTCCTCACAGAGCCCTCTGAGATCTTCTTGCACGGCACTGATCAGATAGCACATCGCTCAGATTTATTCTAATCCAAATGGACACATGCGTGTAGACCCACACACGCATGCACACAGTCATGATTTGTTGGTGTTATAGTCAATTATGGCATTTTTTTTGCTACTTGATGCCAGATAAATGTTAAAATCTGAATAACAAACTCAAGATTAGTGGGATAGTTTGTAGGCCTCTGACAATTGAACACATCCATCCGTCCATTATCTATACACCTTAATCCTCATTAGGGTCGCGGGCAGACTGGAGTCTATCCCAGCCGACTTAGGGCGAAGACAGGAGACACCCTGGACAGGTCACCAGTCCATCACAGGGCTACACTTAGAGACAGACAACCAAGCACACTCACATTCACACCTACGGACAATTTAGAATCACCAATGAACCTCAACATGTTTTTGGACTGTGTGGGAGGAAGCCGGAGAACCTGGAGAGAACCCACGCTGCACGGGGAGAACATGCAAACTCCACGCAGAAAGATTCCGGTGCCCCCACAGGGACGCGAACCGGCGACCTTCTTGCTGCGAGGCAACAGTGCTACCAACTGCGCCACCCTGCAGCTCCATTTGAACACATTAACGCTAAAAATGACTGAAAGACTGAATCTATTTTGCAGCAACATTGCAAAAGTTTTACTATACAAGAGGTACAAAGAGACACAAGTTGTCTCTGTAACAGTCAAATATTGTCTGCAACATACAGCGAAAGAAATCAGCGCTTCATTAGGTGCACGAAAGCGACACATTCCAAGCTTTCTGTCCATCCTTTCCATTGGTAGAAGACTGAAATCTAGTCGCATTTCAGAGAGTCGGCCTCATGTACGGTTTACACGTTCTAATACTCTGACAAGTCTCGAAATGTCAGCTCACATCACGCAGCTTTACATGGCTCGCACGAAGGCATATGCAAATTCAGTAAACACACATAAGTGCTGGATTAATGATTTAATGCCTCTCATGCTGTCATTAGCATGCACCTGGCAGAACCTCAGCTCGGGGCGAGTCTATAGGCACAGCGCGCACGTCGATGGGATTGATTCCGTCATCCTTTCTGTCGCCGAAGCCACTGACTTCTGTGCTCGCCGGCTCAATGATTACAAGCAGGCCTTTCACCTCGTTTTACTGTAGTTGTAACCCGAGTTAATCAATGCGTAACCCCCCTCCCCTCCTTTCTGTCCACTGTTTCTTTTTTTTTTTCCCCGTCAAACTTCGTATAACAAGAATCTATCGCTGATAATACGTCAACCAGGTTTCCATAAGTGCCTCGTCCAGTCCGACTCTCAAGTGGAGCAATTAAAGGCAATTCTCCTCTTCAAACACCAAAGTGGGGAACGGGCTTCGCGGACCAGAGGAGAGGATGACATTGAGCATCTCTCAGCACCCTCTCACCGGCCGCCATGTGACGCACGCCCACGCACCGCATCGGAGTTTGGACCTGGAGTAAGTGTGCCTGAATAAGAAGCTGATTGAGAAGGGGGGAAAAGTAAAGATGTGAGTACAGGAAAGGTGAAGAAGGAAAAACAAGAGGGAAGATTGATGGAGGTATAGTATGCAGTACTTCTCTGGGTTCAGCTGCCAGCCCCTGTGATGGCCATTTAAATGCCTGGTCTTGTTTTAGTGTGTATTATAGGTCCTGTGACCATTCTTTCCTGTGCAATCTGCTTGCTGTCTTCCCTTTGAAGGACATTTTAGCAAAAAAAAAAAAAAAAAAAAGCAGGTGTAAAGTCTCCAGATGCAGCCAGAGAGAAACAGTCCATTTTTTTTTTTTTGTATAAATAACCATGGTGATGATTTTCAACAGACACCCACAACATCTGCAAAGTGCAGGAACGCTCTCACAGCCCAGGACACACATATGCTTTACAGCGGGAAAAGGTCACCTGTAACAGAGCGTCGTGTTTCCAGTTGGCTAACCTAATAGTCAGCTGATGTTACAAATGGATCGGTGTGTTCCATCTGAGTGTGTGTGTCTATTTGGGTGAGACTGACATTAACCCACTCCCATTTAAAATCTAGAGTAAATATATACTTAACATGCAGACATGTCTCTTCTGTTTTTACACTCCGTCCTACACCCCCTCTGTCTATAACTCGCTCACACACTTTCAGTCTCATAGCCAGAGGATACTAGAGTAATCAGCAGAGGAGGACAGGTCAGTCTTGAGTGGGAGGCTCCGACAGTAGCATCTAAAGGGCCACAACAGACACAGCCGCTAATGCTTAAGACGTCCGGTTTTCTGCACTAATAATAGTAGACACATCCCATTTTCTGTACTTAGAGAAAAACATGCTTTCATTACATACCACAAAACCACTTCTCATACATTAGAGATTTGGTCTTATAATAACCAATCTCCAGCCTTCCCCTCACTGCGTCTCGATTGGTCCTGTTTTTTTTTTTTTCCTACGGAATGCACGACAAACTTGAAAAAAATGTGGTCATGTATATATATAAATGTTTTAACACGCTTTTAAAGTGATTGTGCAGAGATGCTGCTCAAAATCTATTCGAATGTATTTAAACTGACAGAGGAGGTGTTCTGCAATAATCAGCCACCTTCTGTGAGGCCAATCAGTGCAGAGGTAGCAAAGCCAATCATGTTGGCCTCTCCTAAAAAAATTACTACATTCACTTCCCACCCACACAAATCTATTCATGAGGGG